TCAGTGTAACCACAAACCCATAGCAAGAACATAAACAAGAATTTAGAAGAAGAAATGTTTCTAGCCTTGTTGTATGCACTTATCTTTCTTCATTAGTGGGTGCTAATGCTACTGTTTTCTTGCTGGTTTTTGTAGAGCCTTCAGAACATTGAAATACAATGCTAGACAAGTTCTTCAACTATTCCTTTCATTAAACCATCCATCCTTTTCATATCAAAAGCTAATCCTGATCCACCTTCCTTTTGGTATGGAGAGGATTCCCAGTTAGGATAATTGCCATCTCTTTATCTGCTTTGTTGTATTACTTTTCAGGCACAAAGCCACCTAGTAAAATTTAAGAGCCTACTATGAAAAGACTTTCTTTTTATAGCAAATCTTTCTTGCCGCTGCTTTTTGTATGAGGGTTACTTCTGCTATAACTGCACTTGTAAGGGCTTTTTCTGGTTTATTCATCTCATTATGTAATTTATGTATAAACTTTTATGTTTTAAATGTCTAAACTAACATATATTGTTTCCATGGTACTTCTGAAGGGAATAAATGTTTATTATAATTTTACTAATTTACACTTTCTGCAAACATATTCAGATGAGCACTTGTTAATTTTCTTAGCAGGTGCCAGCTTGTTGTATGTTGTTCTACGTATTTACGTACGCAGAGTTGTGAGTATATACGCCTGTATGCACATATCATACACTATCGAGTTTCATTATGTTGTAATGTAAGATTATACAGCAGAGACCAGCAAAGAGTTGAAGCCTTTTGAACAAAAGGGTTAATACCGTACCTTAATGTGCATGGATGATGCCATGTGGTATCATTTGTGAGCTCTGAGGTGGCTGACCATTCCCATTTTGGTGTAAATCCCTTGAGAGGGAAAGCATTTCAGAGCGGGGTGTGATCTGTTCTCCTGGTAAGAGTGATTGACAAGGAATGAATAAATAGTTAAAAGAACTGAATAAATACCACCCTCCTGTTTAAGTCCAGGCACACCCAGGCTAGCACATATGTATTCTAATACAGCACTTCAGCCAGATGCTTGAGTTGTTTAGTGACAAAAAGCATCCCTGAAAAGCCAAATCATAGTTAGTTATGACTGCTTCTGATAGAACTTTATTTTATGGTGACCATTTTATCAGTGATTTGAATAAATGCAGGGAATTACAATATTTTGCAAGCAGGATGTAATGAAAAATATATATGCAAAAGGTGACTGAGGCCTCCTGAGTGGGGACCCTGACAGCAGGTTCTTGGTCAATTGGTGAGGTGAAATGGTTCACTGAATTGGATAACACAGTGCATACCATAGTGACTGATTAAATTGATTTGTCCGTGGCTGCCGCCTACTCTGCTACCGAGGCCCTTTAACCTATTTTCAAACTTTTCTTTTTTTAAACACTCTAAATAAATGTGGCATTAAGGGAAGGAAGCAAACACAAATGCATTTACAGCTATAAAATTCTCTTGTCTGAATTAGGATAAAATGTGTGGTTTCCAGAATGTCTACGCGCTCCTGTATTTACCTATTCTTAGATAAAAAGCCCAAGAACAAGCATACTACTAGGAACAATTGAGCAAGCTATTAATAAGCACCATTCTTCGATATAACCTAAACTATTACACTGCATTCGTAAATTCCTAGATATATTTATCAAGGGGAAAGAAAGTGAAACACTTGAGGGTTTTTTGGGGCTGTGCTTTTGTTTTTCCAACTGCAAGTTTTACTTCCTAATTGTTTGATCCAGAAGACATACAGAAAGCTTGTCAGAGAATCATAGCTGAACATCTGTTGAGAAGACTGAAAACTACTGTTAAGCAGGGTCAGATATCTGAAAATAACTGCAGTGATTTCGAAAAAAAAGTAATCAGATAAATAATACTTAATAGCAACACATTTTTTTACATTATAGGGGAAAAAATTTTTACTGTTTTGGTCTTAGATTGAAATTGTTGTATATTTGATCTTTTCTTGCTAACCAGATCAATACTAAATGGCAATTGGGCTTGTACTTTTTTTTTTTTTTTTGATTTGAAAATAGTTTATATTCTGTATCTCTTCCTGGGTTATGTCATAGTATGTGCAGACAGACTTGTGTAAGCTTAGTCTTGCACTGAAAGAGCACATAAAACTTTGTGCCGTGGTAATGTAAAAATGAAATCAGTTCACCTGAAATATAGTATTGTAGTAGCCATAAAAGTGCAGAGTTCAGTATAAGAGGTTTGTTTTTAATTTTAAGATAAGATATTACAGTTTAATTACAGTGTTCTCTGAAAGGATAATGAAGTTCTGTGCCTCATTTAAATTCTCTACGTTATAAATCAGTCTTGTAGAACATGGCATCATGCCATAGACAACTTAAGCTGTTTTTTCATTTGTCTTTTTTAAAAAATACGTAGTTAGTATCTTGCTCACAGTGAAGAAGATACAACAAGAGGGCAGTGCTCAGGGATTGTTTCTTTGAGTGGATTTGCAAATGTTAATAGCTGTTTTGCAACTTTGTTGTAAACTATGCAGATTTTATCAATAGCATTTCTTTAAAAGGTGAAGTATATTTTATAGGTGAGACTCTGGCTGTACATGCAATTTTGCATGTGCTGAACTTCATGTCTTTGCATAGACAAAGAGTAGCTGGGCCAGCGCTCTGTTAATTCCCAGGAAGCTGAAAATTTAAAATATTTTGATGTATGCTTGAGCTAAAACATGTTGTAGTGTTTTATACCTATAGCTCTGTATTTTTGAATGCTTCTGTTGACTCCATCAGGCATTGAGTATTTGTGCGTTCATTTTTTAAATTATTTGATAGTTAAGGGGAAGCACAAAAAATTGTCATCACTGGTTTAATTCTCTTCAGTAAATTGTTACATTTTCATGAATTAAATGTATATGTACTCATTGCAAATATTTATAAAACAAAGAAACAGAAACCACAGAAGAGTAGCCAGTATTTATAGAAAGCTGAGTTGTGAACATGACCAGCATAGGATCCTTGTGCCAAAAGCTTGTAATTATTTCTCCGTACCATGTATTTAAATAATGTATTTGGAGGATTCACATACCTAGCGTGTGTTATAAATTAACATTATTCAGTAAGGAGTTGTTCAAGACTCCGTTAAGATTCCCCTGGTTAAAAAGATTAATAGACGAGTATTTACATTTTGGCTGTTTTTAAGAATCAGCAAGAAAAGTCTTTACTAAGTCCTGACCCTGTGGAATAGGTACTCTGCGGTTTGTCTGCCTCTGAGTAGTCACTCTTTTGAAGATGACACCCAGGGTCACCACCACTTGCATGTGGTTTGGGAATTTCAAGAGAAAACAAACAAACCCTGTTTTATGACTCTTGCGAAGGCTTTATTTATTTTGTTTTGAATCGAAACCGTAAAAGCCATTACTAACCCTCTGAAATATAAGCATTGTAAAAGTGTAGCCTCCACCCTTCCCTTATCATGCCTTAACTGAGCCAGAAGATGCCAGCCTTGTGGACTTAGGCAAGGTCTTTTATGAGACCGAATAGCTTTGGAGCGCGCGCATACATGGAGAAAGCGCAGAGATCGCCTGGTTCGGGTGCTACCTCCGAGGCCCCATTCGCATGTGCCCTGTGAAACCCCTCAGCAGTGATGGGCCCTCAGGGAGGAGGGGGCTGTGAAGAGAAGGCTCTGCAGTCCCCCTGCTTCTTACCTGCGCCATGGGAAGATGGGAGTGCATGGGGGAGAGAGGGGACATGTACAGAGTTCCTTCTCCTCTGAGGAAACCTCCGTTTTCAGAAGGTGGGTCTGCTGGAGCCTTATCCCAAGAAGTGACAGGGAGATCAGGGCCCCCGTATTGCTTCCATATTGCCTTTCCGTTGCCAGGTAAGGCCAGGAGAGGAGCTCTTCCTGCCAGAAGTCACCTCCTTCCTCCCAGTAATTTCACCCGTCTCCTCTGCATTTGGGTTCCCCTGCTTGAAAGTAGCATGTCCTTTTGGAAGGATTTGCTAAAGTCTGAGGCAAATCATCAGAGAAGGCTGAGTATCTTCACTACCGATATTTCTTCATTACTTTCAGCCAGCAACTTGCAGCATTGCAAAGTAAAACCCATCTCTCTGGAAAGATGAGGGAGAAGGCCCTTGGTGACTGCTTCTTCTCCCTCTCCCCTCTTTGAAATTAATGTCAGTCGTCACTTGAAATATTAGTACTCAAAAGAGTTTAATATTATAAACACTCGAGTAAACAGAAGTGTTTGCAGCAGTGGCAGGATATTTGAATATTTGGTGCCCTCTAGTGGGACCAGAGTCACCAGGACTCCGTTTTGCGGTGTTGCCAGAGGTGCTGGGGGCTCGCTCTGGGGCGCAGGAAAAAAACAGCTTCTGGAATTTGGTAAGAACTAGCAAGTGGGAATTTTGGATCCAGGACTTTAATATCCTACCGTTGTAGTATTCATGAAACTCCTAGTGTCCAACAGGGTTTTTTTTTTTTTTTTTTTTTTTGTATAGTTCAGCAGTGCTGGTGATTGATGGCTCTTACACAGTGGGATGCTTGCAATGTTGTCCTTGGACTGCATGGGCTGACTTTATAGACAGCTGAGGGCAGTGAGACATTTAAAGACTTTCAGAAAAGCATCGTTAGGCACCTGTTAGCATCTGTAAATGCTTCTGACTTAGCCCTTGTCAGTTAATAAAAAGGTCCCAGTAAAAACAAGTGAGGCTCTGTTTCAGGGTTGTCTCAGTTCTGAGCAGTAAAGGCTTTTTGAAAGAAGGTACTAACTGATATGATTGGTGGTAACAGAATCCAATCCGAAATAAAAGGTATTTTTTGAGACCAGTGTGACAGAGGGGTACATTCCAAGTGACTTAAAAAGCACAGGTGAAATATGTATTAGCCCGTGGCAATGGAATATCAGTGCAGAAGCTCTCACTGTTTTACCCACAGAGCTTGTGCACGTTCACACTTAAAGTTTACGATACATAGGAAATCATGCAATTTGATGCTACGTTTTTTAACCAGCTGTCTGTCTTCCTTTGTAGATGCTACAACTGTGGTGGCCTTGATCATCACGCTAAAGAATGTAGTCTACCTCCACAGCCAAAGAAGTGCCATTACTGTCAGAGCATCATGCACATGGTGGCTAACTGCCCCCATAAAACTGTTTCACAACAGCCCACTAGTTCTCAGGGAAGACATGAAGCTGAACCACAGCCTTCCACTTCTGCTTTCCTGAGAGAAGGGGGAGCACCGTACGGCTATTCATCTCCATCGTATTCTCAGGAGGGAAGGTCAGAGATCTCAGAGCGTTCAGGCAGGTCACCACAAGAAGCTTCTTCAAGTAAGTTATCTGCATCACCTGAAGAACCAAGCAGAAAGGGGCCTTCTGTTCAGAAAAGGAAAAAAACTTAATAGCTTTTGTCATAACTTTCCATTTTCTTTATCCTTTTGGGATGTCTACCTCATGCAATACAGGGGAAATAATTTCATTATCAGTAGCTGACCTGGAATTTTAACTACTGTTGAGGAACTGTGAATTTTTTTTTTCTTTACTAGACAAATCACTCCAAGCAAAATACATGTGAGCAGGGTGTGTTATCTTCTGTATGTGTGTGTATGAGTGTGCACGCGCGTGTGTGTATGTGTGCATATCTATAAATATATATTTTTTCCATCGAACACTCTCCAGCTCCCACAATACATTATTATGAAGCAATAGATACAATATCCAAAAATGTTCCTGAACTCATTCTTAGAAGCTATTTTCAAACACACTCAAAAAAACAAACAAGAAAATACAAGAAATCTCTCACACAACTACACCAGACCTGAAAAACCACACACAGAACTGAGATCAAGACTGTTACTTTTCTTGTGAACCAAAGGATACTTTCATATTTTAAAGCTGCCATATGGTACTAACGATACTAAGACATCCCCATAGCATCAATTTGAGTTATTTTCTTTCTCATATCTATGAAGTATCAATGCCTTCCCCCCGCCCCTTGTGCCTGTGAAGGGCAGTGTCATGAGTAAATATGGCTCTCATTGCCACCATCCTTTGTTGATGAGGAGTTTAAAGCTCCAGGAAAGACAATGAATGTGTAGTTTCTGTGCTGGTTTCTCAAAATGTTTTGTTAAATTAATATGGTTGTAATTGTAATTTAGATGACTGTTGTATAGGGGAGAATGTATAAGTAAGTTGTTACAGACCCTTTTGAGTGGTATCAGGATACCATCCTGTTTAACTCTCTGTATTCTGTGAAAATTTAGAGGACCTTGGTGGCAGCAGCAGCAGCAGCAGCAGCAGCAGCAGCAACTTCTTTTGATCCCAAGTAGTCCCCATCAGTTTGAAGGGACTTACCCCTTGTTTACTATTGAAAGGTCACGGAGAGAACTCCCGAGGGATTTTTTTTGTTGTTGTCTGTTTTATTTTTTAAAGAAAAAGAAATGCAAAGCTAATAAGATCCTAGGCTAAAGAGTTTTTTTTTTAAGAATAACGCTAGATGGGTACTTGCAGTTGCTCAGCCACCCTCCCTTGATGATACAGCATGTGTACAGTAAAGAACGATAGGAGTCTGCTGCAGAGCAGCTTTAGTGCAGGGACCTGCAAACTTGCCCCTGGGCATCATCTACTTGCAAACCAGAGACTGTTGCTGGCCAGCCTTTGTCTAGTGTATGCTGGGACCGCACGCTTCTTCATTAAAGACAAGAAAGATTGGTGGCTTCAGAGTGAGATTCCCTGGGCTGCAGCCCTTGCTCGAGCTTAATGGAGTTGGAGCCTATCAAAACTTCAAGTCATGTTCTATTTGTAACGTCTCAATTACCAAGTCGTACGTAAGATAACATACTTTGACAAATCCCATTGCAGATGTAAGTTAATTAGAGAAACCTGTATAATCCTTAACATTGGCAATAAACATAGGCTGTTAAAGCTTGAAAGAGTCAGGTAGGTTTAAGCTCAGATAATCAAGAAGCAGCCTGCATGAAAGGCTACAGTGAGCCAAAGTCCTATCTGCGGTAACTCTTCTGCAGCCGATAGTTGCAACAGGTAGGTGGCTGGCTCATTACGTGGCCTTCTCCCTTCCCACTTGTCCTGCCAGAGGAGACTTTTACTGTTGCTGCTGCTGCTGCTTCAGTAAAGAGGTAGTAATCAAACGCCTCAGTGAAGGGCACAATTTCAAGAGAATTATTTTGTGTTAATTCCTTGCCAGTGTTTGTGAGAATCTCGATGGTTTATACTGAAGTTCTCAGTATGCTAATGCAAAGCTTACCTTTGACGATATTGAATGTGATGTATCTATAGAGAACTTCCTTGCCTTACGTAAGGATAGTAAACTTATTTAAGTTATGTAGACAAATCAAAGTGGCATTGCTTAACCTCCTAGCCTGTGTAAAAACCAGGTTAAACAGCAAAGATGCAAAACTTAGGTCACTTTGAAAACGTAAACCAAAGTTCCTTATAGAAATAGGCAATTGTGGATTTGAAAACTGGTCATTCCCTGTTTATATGTAAGAAGTTCAGAGCTGAGATAAGGAAATAATTTCAACAAGCAGATTTTTAGTGGTGCTGTTTGAAATCATTGCGTGCACCAAAGTCAGACTGAACTGCTAAGAGCACATACCAAACTCTATCTTATTGTTGAAAGCTTAAGGTTTTATTTTTATATATTAGAATGTTATCACTATTACATAACATACTCAGGACAAAGAACTTTGCTCAGGGAATATACCATGTGATGTTGTTTTTTCTTTACAGAATAGTCTACAGACCTGCTTATTCAGAACAAACCAAATAGACTTAGACCTTTTTATCTCTATATAAGTATTATGTACTGATATTAGTAACTACCTCTGAGTTGACGTAGACCTACATTTCTGATAATCAGATCTCAGCATTTTGTATTATAAGTTCCTGTGAAATGATAAGTGGTATTCTATACTGGTTGCTTATGTGAGCATTTGTGTCTTTACGTTCACAGGGTCTGAGTTTTCAGAGATGCTGGGCAACCACAGCTCCCATTGACTTCCAGTTGGAGTTTTTGGTGCTTAGCCTTTCTAGAAGGGAAGGGAGGGGGGTGGGGGGATAGAAAGGGAAGAAGAAAAAAACAGGAAAACATCAAGCCCACTTTGTTTACATAGGTGACAATAAAATTATTATTCTGTTTACAGCAAAAGGCTACCTCATATTTACTACATAAACACACCTTTGTGCTGCTCTGGCCTTAAAGGTGGCTGTTGATCTATGGTACATACTTTTTATCTGTACTAAATATGTAACTGGTAATTCATCACTGCATACGTTATGGCAAATACTTGTTTAAGTTGAAGCATCCACCTGAAATTATGAGAAGTCTCCAAACATTTCTTTAAAAGTTTTTATTTTTCTGTCTAAAGGATTATGGGCGCTGTTCACAAAAATAAGTACATCTCCAAAAAGAGACAAAAAAACCATGCATGCCTAAGTTAAACATACAGCAGCATGAGCTGTGGCAGGTAACTACTTAGCACTGGGCTGCCGTAGAAAAATCTAATTATTTTCCTTCAATCGGCTGCTCCAAATAAGCAAACTACCCTTTAAAGGAAGAGGCACAGACTTGAGTTTGGGATTTTTCCTTTGCATCTAAGGATGACATGAATATTCTACAGCTTGGCTCAGCCTTGATTTCCCCTATTCACCAGCCTGTCCTTGCCAGAACACCTCACAATAAAACTAATTTGAGTAGAAATAGTTCAAATTCCTGCTCAGAGATCTGTTTTTCTCTTAACAATACTGGCGATGAGGTTAAACCCATAACAAGAGTATCTCTCCCTTCCATCCTCTCACCCCAAAATACTCGATTTGATTAAAGCATGAGAGACATTGTGAGATTTTTTTTTTTATTCTCCCTCAAGGAGATTTAATGGCAAATACTATACAGGACAAAAATGAGGCCATGAGGAAGATGTATATTTGAAGGAAGAGCCAAATAACTTTTTCCTATAGCTGGTGGTAAGTCTGGCATTGTAATATCATCTGAAATATTTTGCTTTTAGCCAGCTTTCAGGGAGTGCCAAACAAGACATTTGGGTGCTACCTCTTCCCTTTGTAGGCCACCTTTTTCAGTTCCTTTCTGCTTTGCACCAGTGCTGGAGTTCCTGCTTAGTCATACTTAGTTTTGTGAATAGAGCCCCATAAAAAGTGTTTATAGATCTTGTAACATTCTTTGTAAGAAGAATTATAAAAGAACATGGGAAATCTCATTGAGTCTTAAATTTAATTTAATTAATTTATCTGTAAGAAATGTTTATCATAAAAAATATATATGTATTCCCCTGTGCTAGATATAAAAGTAATTGGGAAGATATGTACATGTGCAGATGCACTGATTATAATTTTCTAGAAGTCTTAATGAGATCTGATTATTGTTTTAGAAACAAGCAGAACCTTGTTAAATGCATCGATTTTGGTTAGTATATCAACAGCCTCTTCTTTAAGAAACGTTGGTTGTCTTACCCCTGTTACAACTGTTGACTAATAATAAGAGGTTGATCTATGAACACACATTTCTGTTTTATACTAAGACAGCTGTAAGTTAGCAGCTCTAGTAGTGTTTTTTGAGAATGTTTAAAAGTACCAAGGTATTTGCTACCATTGTCATTAAACCAAATGTAAGAGTAACCAGCTTTACAAAGGATAATGGTTTTGACTACCTCTTGGATTTCTAAGTTAAGCAACAACTGGCTGACAGACATCACCAGACTGGCTTAAACTAGTATGTGTTGCTTGTGCTAATAATAACAATAACCATACTAGAGACCAAAGTGAACACTGATTTCTATATGTCTTTAATACTGTGTCTTATCTAGTGTTTTTAAATTATCTTCTGTAGTATAGATTACCTCATTGTCCATTTTGACTTGTATGTTGTTTACAAGGTGAAATAAAAGAAAAATCACTTGAATTTTATGTTTTAGAAAAAAAAGACAGTGAGTTGAAGTTTTGAAGGTCATTTCACCTGTTTACTGTCTTGAGGGACTAAAGCACTGATTGCCTTTCTACATATCATGTATTTTATATTCTCATTTCATGCCTAATGTCTTTTTTTTTTTCCTGTCAGTCATGGATATTGTGAGGTTTAAAAGAATTACTTGATTAAAAATAAAACATATAACGTTGGCATTTACAGCAAGCCTTGGAGATTTTCTTTATTTGCATGATAAAAAAACAGCATACAGTTACGGTGCAGATTTTTCATATGCATCTGTGTACACTTAGTTTTAGGATACTGTCCTCAGAAAAGGTAGTTTTAGTGATATAAATTGTTGCTTGCGGGAGGGGGAAATAAATTATTAATTGCACGCCTGGACTGTGTCAGCAAGGCTGCAGAAGTTGCACCCAAAACCATACCCAGCTATCAAAATTAAGCTGTGCAAGCTTATCACTTTCGATACTTACTCTCTGTGAGTGTACCTGATCAGACATGTGGGTTATTATCTGGGATGACAATGTTTTGGTATTTAAGTCTCAACCCATCTTTATTACTTGTTCCATAATCTGTAAGTATTGTACATAACTATTACATGCTAACTTAAAATTAATTGATTTTTTTTTTTTCATGAAAATGCTGTCATCTATCATTGCCTGGAAATCCATCTCTAAATTATGTAAAAGTGTATTAGTGAATTTGATAGCATTTAGGGGTGGAGTATGCTAGCTACATGGCCTTAGTTTTTCAGTACTGGGCTCTACATATAGGTGAATAAAAACAGTGTTTAACAATCTCTACTAAACAGAAAGCAGAAAGGTTTCTTTATTTGTACAACCTATCTTCAAAAAGGGTTGCCATCTACTTACTCCAGGATCATCTACGCTTCTAGTCACATAAATCTCACTTTTTTTTTTTAATTCATGTCCTCAAAAAGAGTGAGCGACGAACACACCCCCCCCCCCCAATTGCAGCCTAATGATTTCATCGCATTCCTGGAAAGGGCAGGAGGTGACTTTGAATCCCCATGGCTAAGAGCCCAAATGTCCCATTTCTTGGACTAATTGTCAAGAGCAAGGCTTTCTCCAAAACATCTCAAGAACGTGTTCACTTAAGATGGCCATTGGCCTATGCCTACTCCTCGCCTGCCCACGTGGCCCCCGTCTCTGGGGCAGGCGGGGGTACCTCAGCCCCTGTGGGCAGGTGCAGGCACCGCCAGGGGCCAGAGTAGCTCTGGGTGTGCGCTGGGGTGTGAAGCTCTGGGGACGCTTGCAGGTAGAATGGAGAAACCTCCCCTGGAGCAGAGCGTAGCCATGGTTGAAACCAAGACGGCTGGA